CCCCAAAACCCCAAAACCCCAAAACCCCATAGGACAGTAGGTCAGAGTTAATCGAAGTAATCTCTATATTAAATTTGAATTTTTGAAAAGATATACTTATATATTTAATACATTCACTTAAAGATGCAAGGTTACGAGAAAGTTCAAAAGGAAAAAGAACAAACCGTTGAAAACGAGATCAGAGTTATGGCCAAGGGTCAAATTAAGAAGTATTTGGGCTACGCTCTTAGAATTCTTACCAAGACTGACTTCAAGAGCCTCGAAATTAGAGGTACCGGCAATGCCATCGTTAAAGCGCTCATTTTGATTGAATTGGTTAAGAGAAGAGTTGGCGATCTCCATTAGATCAACAATATCACAAGCACTGAGATCGTTGATGAATTCAAGCCAATTGTTGAAGGTCTTGAGAAGGTTGAGCAAAGAAGAAGAGTCACTTGCTTGAACTGCGTTCTTTCCAAAGAACCACTTGATACCAACAATATTGGTTATCAAGAGCCAACCAAGAAAGAGGAACAAACTCAAAGAAGATTCAACGATGATAACAACAAGGATGCCGATGCTAGACCAAGAGGTGGTCCAAGAGGTAGAGGTGGCTTCAGAGGTGATAGAGGAGACAGAGGAGACAGAGGAGATAGAGGAGATAGAGGGGATAACAGAAGAGGTGGAAGAGGTGGAAGACCACCAAGAGTTTACAATAATGATTTATCCCCACAAAGAGAAGAGAGAAGAGGATACGAGCCCAGACACGATGATAGAGATAGACAAGATAACAGAAGAAACTATAGAGATAGAGATGAAGGTAGATAATACAGAGGAAGAGGGGAAAGACCACAACAAAAAGTTCGCAATGATTTATCCCCTCTAGAAGAAGAAGGTAGATAATAATATAGAGGAAGAGGCGGTCCTAGATTTAGACCAGATATCAGAGATGATCTCGACTTGCCAAGAAGAGGTGGAAGAGGTGGACTCGAGTTCAATGATAGACCAATGAGAGGTGGAAGAGGCGGTCCAAGAGGCGGCTTTAGAGGCAATGATGACAACTTCAGAGGCGGAATGAGAAGAGGCCGTGGAGATGAGCAATTTAGAGGAGGAAGACCACAAAGAACTGAGTTCTAGGAGAGAAATTTCGACCATGAACCAAGAGGAAATTACAGAGGTGGAAGAGACTTTGACGCTCCTAGAGATTTCGAGCCAAGAGGAGGCTTCAGAGGAGGCGATAGACCTTACAGAGGCAGAGGTGGTGACAGACCATACAGAGGCAGAGGAGGCTTCAGAGGTGCTGATGATCTTGGAAGACCAACTACAAGCTTCAGAGATAGAGATGAGCAACAGGAAGGCTACCCATCAAGAGGTGATAGAAGAGGTGGCAATGGTGGACCAAGAAGAGGAGGTTTCAATGCTGATAGACCATAATACAACAATGAAGGAGGTATGGGTGGCTATAGAGGCGACAGAGGAAACAGAGGAGACAGAGGAGACAGAGGAGAAAGAAGTGACTATCCAAGAGGTGGAACCAGATATAACTAATGAAAAACGTCTCTGCTAGTTTCAACTAATCAATGTTGACAGCGTTTAATCAAGGGAAACATTTCTATATAGCAAAATAAAACTATTTTTACTCTAAAACATTGACACACCTAAATTCTAGCTTTCCTAATTTCAAGCAATAACATTCACATGGGGTTTTGGGGTTTTGGGGTTTTGGGGGTTTTGGGG